AGGTGGGTACCACCAGCCACAACTACTATAGCCGCGTGGACAGAATGGCGGGTGATGCTCCAGAGGGTCCTGACCCCGCCTAGTGAGCAGATCCTTTCCACACGCGCCCTTGGCTGGAACCCGGGCCGTTGCTGAGCTGGAGCCGTGCTGTTCGGGACGGTGGGGTGTGGGGCAGCCGGCTGAACCTGTCCCTGAAGGCACGGGCTGGGAGTTTGGTCCTGGGCCTGTGGGTTGCATGGCCCCTGGCCAGCCTCCTCCTCCTCATCCATAGAGCCGGTGTGGGCTGTGGGCATGTTAGTATGTGCTTCACAGAAGGACCATGAGGATTCACCGAGGCGATGCCCATGAGCACGTGGGCCGTGCCTGGCATTTAGGGGGTGCTGGGCGCACACTGCCTCTCTCCGGCATCAGGCGGGCTGGGAAAGGACCCGAGATGGGCGTGCAAACATCTCAAAGTGACTGTGTCTCTCCCTGGAGGAGAAGACAAAAGGGAGGGTCAGGCCACTCTGAGGAGGCAGACGAGCCTGTTAATTTGAAATTATTCACCAGGAAAGAAGACGCTAAATTAAATTAGAGTGACCTTACTTTGCATGTGGAAGACAGGCTTGGCCACCCCGGAGAGCCTGCCGCATCTCACCCACCCTAAGGGGGAAATTAGGAAGAGAAATGGCAGAGCTCCCCCGCCCTCCCCACGGCCAGCAGGCCTCCGCCCGGAACCAGATGAGAGAAATGTGTTTTTTTCCCAAGGGCTCCTATTGCAGCCAGGCCCTTGGAGCGGGCGCAGGACAGGTGCTCCGAGTCCCTCGTGGCCTCGCGTCTGGCTTTCGCCCGGGGGGACCATTCTGGACTGACCTTGCTCCAAACCCCCGACCCTGGGGCACAGGCCAGGCAGGTGCCCCGGCCGAGCAGTCGGCCTGGCAAACCTCTCAGCGTCTCTAGGGCACCGACCTGATTGAGGGGTGTCGGCAGTTGTGCCTGCTGTGTCCTGCCTCGTCTGAGCTCTTACGTTTACACCCCGACGCCAGGTCATAACTGGGGCTCTCGGAGGTCCACGTGCCCGGGGTCACCCAGCTCGGAGCAGATGCAGGGAGGCGGGACTGGCCATCCTCATAGGTGCTCGGGATGTGCGGAGGGGAAACTAAGGGACGCTTTGGGACAGCTGCAAGAATGTAGTAGAACAAGACCCTCAGGGGGGCTCGGGCTTGAAGATCCAGCTCGGCTCTTTCTAGGCGCGCGGTCTGGCGTGCCTCCGCCCTGCACCTCGGTATGCTCATATGCAGAGTGGCAGTGGTGGCGGCAGCCACCCCATAGACATGGGGGAGGCAGGCTCTGTGTGGCTGTTGTCACCGTTGGGATCATAGTACCAGCTCCAGGGACTGTGGTGGGTTCGGGCTGTTGACCAGCCCGCCCACCCCCACCCCCCGCCCCGTCCCCCTGTGTCTGTGAGCTGGCTGGCTTTGGCTGTGACTCATGTGGTGAAAGCCACGGAGGGGGGAGGGCAGTGGTAGAACCCGCCCCGGGCCTACGTGCAGGTGGAGGGGAGGTCTGTCAGACGGAAGGAGCCAGGTGGCATCAGTGTGGCCCCCTGTCTGCCCCTAGCAGCTGAGTCACTCGGGCTCCTCTCGTGGCTGGAAATCCCCAAACCACCCGCCCTGCAGGCTTTGGCCTGCCTAGGGCTTTTAAACTCTTTTAAAACTCTTGAACGTGTTGCCAGCCAAAGGCCAGGGAGCTTCACAGATGGTTTCTGGGTTCTGGAGAGATCTGGGAGGTGTGACCACACGGGGCCGGCCTGCCTCGGCCGCCGGACTGTTCGGTGGCTGGGGTTTCAAGGAGTAGTGCCTGTCTAGGGAGAGGGAGCTCACGCTTGGTTCAGGAAGCCTGCCTGGGCACGGGAGAGAGGAGTCCAGAGGTGTAGAAGCCCAAGCTGCCCAACGGGGCCAAGCGGACAGCACCAGCCTGTAGAAAGAAGGGAGCTGCCTGCCCGAAGCTCTGTGCCTGGGGGGGTGGGGGGCGTGGGGGGGGGAACACGTGCACATGTGGCCTGCAGTTTGCCACCTCTCTAGCAGGTGCTTTCCTGGCACATTTCCTGGAGAGTGGGTTCTGTCCCCCAACGGCGGTATCTCCTGGAAGGAGCCCCCAGAGTGAAAGGGCATGGAAGTGCTATCGGCAGGACCAGATCACCCTCACCCCACAGCCCAGGCCAACACACCCAGCCCAGAGATGTGCCCTGCCTTATGGGTTGGTGTGAACCAACTGCTGGCTGGGGGCCTCTTCTGGACCCCTCAGCGCCCCCACCCACCTGTGCCACTGGGCCCGGCCTGGAAGATCCAGCGCGGCCCTGTTTAGTCCTCTCTTTGTTGGCTTATGGGTCTGGGCTTCTTTGCTTTGCTGTCTTGGGGTGATGGGAGCCCCTCATTAATCATGGTCATGGAGGGAGTGCTCCCTGAGTGCCGAGCACACTGTCCACACACAGCCACCCGGTGCCCGTAACCTCCTTTTACATGGGGAAGCTGGGATGGACTGGGAGGTGAGGCCCTGGCTCACACCTGGCGGGCTCCCCTGATGGAGCTGTAACAGAGCTTAGGGACGCTCGGCACCCCGTTCCTCTTCGGGGCCTAGACCCAGACCTTTGACTTCAGGATGTAGCCCAGAAATCAGTCCTGGCTTCTCTTTTTCTGAGAGTTTTTCCTCCCCTCAGCCCCGTGGATTTCCTGGGGTTGTGGCCCAGGCCCTGGATGGGCACATTCGTGTTTCTAGCAGCGCTAGGCTCATTTCTGGGGGGTGATTCTCTCCCAGAAATGTGTTCTCCTGCCCTTTGGGCCCAGCCTGGTGGGGTCAGGAGAGGCTGTGGAGGGCTTGTCCACCCCCACTGGCCTGCTGGGGCCTCACCCACTGCCCCCTTGCCACCCAGCTGCCTCAGCTGCTGTCTTGCTGCTCCCTTCTGGGTCCCGGAAAACACCAGGAGGAGGGCCAGGGCCTGGGACAAGGACAAAGGCAGCCCAGCCGCACACCTCCCCTCCTCCAGGCTCGTGTGGGCAGGGCCTCTGGAGACAGCAGGGGGAGGGGGCAGGAGGGAACCCACCACCGTGGTCCCCGTTGGGGTGAAGAGTGCACGGGGCTGGGGGAAGGGACGTGTCGGCCCCTCTGAGGAGGGAGGGCGTGGGGGTTACACAAAGCAAGCCTGTGTGTCCCCTGAATGGGCAGCTTTATCCTGGGCCCTAACAGACAGGGCCCTGCCCTAGGGAATCAGACCAGGCTGCTGAAGCCCTGGACCAGCCTGGCTGGGGAGGCAGGAGGTGTGGCCACAGTTACTGGGTCCGAGGCCCTGCTGCCCGCCTTCCTGGCAGGAAAGTGACGGTGTCCCTCCAGTGGTTCCATCCAAGCTTGCTTGATCTGCTGCTGGGCAGGGCCCCAGCCTTCTCAGCACTCAGGATCAGTCTCCCTGAAGTCCCTGGCCAGTTCGCCCTCCCTCCTGGGCTCTCCAGGGCAAGATGGGACACGGTCCCACCTGGGAACCAGAGCCAAGGCCCAGGCTCCAGGATGAGTTCCTGGGTGCACAGGAGGTCGTCCAGCAGATGGTTGGGTGGGAGGAGCCAGCAGCATAGGGCCCTTGGGCTGAGAGTCTGTCACTTGACCTCTGGACCTTGCTCTCCTCGCCCGTGAGATAGGATGATAAAAGTGTCCCGAATGTACACTCAGCCCTGGACAGGGATTCTCAACCCTGGCGCCGTTGACCCACCATTCTTCGCCGTGGGGCATCCCGTGCACTGTAGGAGGCCCCCACCCACCAGATGCCTGGAGTGCTGCCCCCCAATTGTGACAGCCGCCAGTGTGCCCAGAAATTGCCACATGGCCTCTGGTGGGCAGACTCACCCGACTTAATAACAGCAGTAGGTACTAGCAGTGTAATAGGTAAACATCGGTGCAGTTGGGCAAACACAGAACATGGCATGAGAAGGTGGTGTCCTGGGGAGCCTGCGTGGGAGGAAGGGGGTGGCCAGGGCTTTGGAGAGGATGCTGGGGGGGGGGTTTCTGTGTGGAGAAGCTTCCACTCTTTTGCGAACAGTAACGTTCCCACCTAGGACGCATTGCTTTTCCTGCCGGAAGCCGCAGGGAAACTGAGGCAGGAGGGGCTGGCCCTCGCAGGGTTGGAGTTTGGGTGGGCCCAGCATGAGTGGCCAGAGCCCTTGACACAGCCACACCTCATGTTCCTGTTGCTTTCCACTTTACCCCCTGCCACCCGCACTCACCGCCCACCCCCCCCCCCCGCCCGCTGCAGTTTGTCTGTCTTGGAGGAGGAAGAGCTGAGTCAGTGGCCCTGAGCTTGAACCTATGCCCTGGGGAGCCCTCGACTAATTGCTTGTTAGCGACGGGCGTCAGGGTGTTGGGCCCCCGGTGGACAGCCGTGGGCTGGAGGAGGCTGGCGGGGCTCGGCCCTGGCGCAGCTGTCTGCCGTGTCACCACCCAGGTCCCTGGCAGGACCCGGCGCTGGCGTCCTGCCCGTTGCTGGGGGCTCAGCTGGCACCGGCCGCGGCCAGCTGCCCAGCCGCCTCGACACGGACCCGCGCGAGTCAGCAGAAACCGCCCCGGCACTGGCAGGATCAAAATAACCTCCTTCCTTTTCCAGCACTTGAGGGCTTTTCCGCCTTCGAGGGGAAAAACAAAACAACACCAAAAAAAAAAAAAAAAAAAAAAAGAAAAAAAGAAAGGCGAATGGCGGCATCTGCAGGCACCGGGGATGTGGTTTTTCTGAGGCTTCCCTCCCGAGAGCTGGGTGGGGGGG